TTTCTGCTGGAAACAATAAATTGCTTTTATGCTTTGTTAAATATTCCACAGTAAGTACATTACTTACTTTTCTTGTTGCTGTGATAGAATACCTGACAAAAGCAACTTAATGGAAGAAGGATTTATTTTCTCCCACAGTTTGTGGGGAAACAGTCCATTGTGACAGGGTGGCCATGGTGGCATGTGGCTCCATTTGGCAGGAAGCCCCATGTTGGCAGGAATATAAAGCTGTAACTCCTCCCTTCTTCACATTTCTGACAGAACAGAAAACAGAGCCTGGGCATCAAGTGGGGCCTGGCCAAAAATCTTAAGATCCTCCGTCATCAACCCACTTCCTCCAGCAAAGCTACACTGCCTAATGGTTCCACAACCCCCCAAAATAGCATCACTAGTTGGGGAGCAAGTTTTCAAATACATGATCCTATGGGGGACATTTCACATTCAAACCCTACACTTAACTAATCAGTATTTGTCACAATGTTCTGTTACCCCCTGCTCTGGGCCTTTGATACATGTGATAGTGAAGGGCACAGAATTTGGCATGACAGAATCCTATTTTCAATGAGAACACTGGTACTTACTGGTAAGCCTCTTGGTCATTTCAATACCTAGCCAAGGTCTGACATGAAGTAATCACTTAAAATTTGCTGTTGAAATGACAACTCTGTATTTCAAGGTCTTATTTTGTTAAATGATGCTCAAAAATAAATCAAATCACATGTCAGAAATTATCTACCAATTTAACTTGCCAGTTAGTTGTTCAATTATTGTTTAACATCAGGCATGGTTCCAAGTTCTATTACTTTGGTTTATAGACTATAACTGAGGGACCTTAGCATTTTAGTGTGATTGGTCCTTGGGTTGCATAAGAGTTTCCTAAGGCTGCTGCAACCAAAATTGATAAGGCAACAGAAATTTTCTATCTCTCAGTTTCTCCTATGAGGATATTCATCATTACACTTAGGATTACCCAATTCCAAATCATATAATCTTAATATCCTTACTGTAATTATATCTACAAAATCCATTACACCAAATAAGGTCCCATTCTAATGCTCAGGTGGACTTTTCTTTTGGGGGTTTCTATTTAGCGCTTTGTAAGTAGATACTGCAATATTTATCTGTCACGGCTGTACAGCTAATCCCTCTGTTGTACAGACCAGCAATATTTAGAGTAAGGGTCACAATGAGACTAAGTTAGCAACACCTGAGAACTTGTTACAAGTGCAAATTCTCCTGCCTAGCTTAGGCCTACTGAAGCAGAAAACCTATGCTAAATCCTAGGAATCTTGTGTTTAAATGAGCTTTTAAAGACTCAGAAACCCACCTTCAAAAAATAATAGTGTATGTCATTCATTTTAAATAAACCAAAATATTAATTCTTCTCTTGCTGAATATAAAAATAAGGAAGTATATGTGTACAGAGAACATGGACCATTTACTCAAAAAGAAAAAATTCAATATATATGTAGGCATAAGTCTATATACACAATTAGTATTGTTAACTGGAATAGCAAATGATAGAACTCTTTCATTTCAAATAGCAGAAAATCCTTAAGAATTGCACATATGTCAACTTTATATGTTCTGACTCAGCATTGTCCATTTTCCTGAGTCAATTATCATCTAAACGAAAACCCTCTGTGTTTTAAGCAAAAGGAACAAGTTTGTTAGCTGTCTTAGGTCTGAAGGTGTATAATATAGATCTAACATTTTATACTCATAAGAGGCATAGGTGTGTTTTACTACCTTTTTTGAGAGTAACTGTCAATCAGTAATCCTAAAGAGCTACCTTCTTTGACAGAATTTCCAAAGGTAAATGGTATGCTTTGAATAATGTACACAAACTCTTTCTTCAAAGATATTCTATACAAGTTTTGAAAAGCCAGTAACTTCATTTCCCTATGGAAAATCTGCTGAGGAGGTCTGCTTAGAAGAAAGATGAAAACTGGTGTCCTGTAGCAGGTGCATTGGGCCCCAATGGTCACAACTTAACCCAAGTATCTGGAGAGTACAGATAATAAAGTCAAGACAAAGTCACTTCAACATTTCCTTGAAAAGGTGGGGATTGAAATGATCACTTTCTACCCTTATTTTAGACACTATGTCAAAACTAAGAATATAAATCTGTTGTTTCTTTCATAAATATTAATAATCAATTATTAGTATGCTAGCCTAGTCAATGTTCAATAAAGTTTGGCATTGCTGTGAGCTTTGGACAGTCAGAGCCCACTGCCTGACAATATGATTCATAAATACCTTGCTGTCCCTCTTATACTCTTCAGTCACAATAAAGCCCTAGAGATTTTTTTTCCGAGGGTCTTACCAGAAAGAACACTAGAGTGTGTGTTCAAGCAGTGAGCTGAGGCACAGAAGAATATATTCTCTAAACATAGAACTTGACTATGCTGGTCCCATCTCAAACAAAAATCAGGAAGGATTTTCTATTAGTATCTCTAACTGTGGCTAAGGAAGGAGTAGCAGGAAATTTCAAAGAGCTCTGTGTGATTTGGTGTGTCACTCAGATTTTTTTTAAGCTTTGAATTTAAATTTTCTGTAAGGTATTTGACTGTTCATGGATGTAACATAAAAATTCAGGGTGGCTCTTTGGTCGTATTTCACTCATGTCTATAAAACATGTAAGACTATTAAGAGTTAATCCAAACAAAGTGCCCAGGGAGAAACAAACCCTATGAAAAGCTGAATTTATGGCTCCTCCACTGTTCATTTGACTGAACTGAGCTAGGAAATTAGATTATCTGACCTCTAACTA